GTCACAGCCAAGCACGGGCTCTCAGCGCGAGCGGCGTCCTTGTTGGGTAGCCCCACTAGAAGGTACTCAAGAGTTCGACCCATTTCATAGTTCGGAGGCTTCGCTACAATTACCCCGGGGTCGAACAGGGAGCCGCCTGGCGACCTAACAGCTTGTTATTATGAGCGGGTCATAATAAGCCTTCAGGCGCTCCACGTTGACGATGTCTCGCCCACGGTGGCGCATGTCCGAAGATTGTTCAACGGGTTCGATCAGATAGTTGACGGGTGAGGTGCGCTCGATGACACGGTAGGGGCCTTCGTATTTGGGACGTAGTTTGGAAGAGAGGCCAGCGGCAGAGGTCGGGATCGAGAGCCATACAAGCGCACCAGGAAGGAACGTGGGCTCAGAAGTGGTGGAGCCATCCCGGATACTCTTCTGCCGCTCTTGTTCTTGCGTCGTAAAAGTCTTGGCAAGCTCGCGACACTCTTCAGCAAGCCTGGTTGTCTCGGAAATAGGTGTACACTCAGATGGATCCGGCGTGCACGGGAGTATCGTGTCCATGGTGTGCGACGGGGGCCTTCCGTACAGCAAGTAGAAAGGTGAAAAACCAGTCGTACTCTGAGGGGCGGTGTTGTAGGCGTAGGTGACGAAGGGCAGTATATTATCCCAATTAGTGTGGTTGGCAGCGACGTACATAGAAAGCATGTCGCCGAGGGTGCGGTTAAAGCGTTCGGTGAGGCCATTCGTCTGTGGGTGGTAAGCAGTAGTTTTGCGGTGGACAGAATGGCACTCCGTCAGAATGGCTTCGACGACTTCCGACAAGAAGACACGGCCTCGATCGCTGAGAAGCTCTTGGGGTGGTCCGTGGCGCAGTATAAATCGATGCAGCAGGAAGGACGCAACATCGCGCGCAGCAGCCGCAGGGAGAGCGGCGGTTTCGGCGTATCGCGTTAAATGGTCAACGGCAACGATGGCCCAGCGGTTACCAGCGGACGTCAGAGGAAGTGGTCCATACAAATCGATACCTACGCGCCCAAAGGGATGGTCAGGGCAAGGTAACGGTTGTAGACTGGCGTGCGACGTGTGGGCTGACGGTTTACGGCGTTGGCAAGTGAGGCAAGAGCGAACGAACTGCTGCACATAGCGGTACATCCCGCGCCAGAAGTAGCGTTGTCGAATGCAATGGTAGGTTTTGAATACCCCAGAGTGGCGCATTGCGGATCAGAATGGAAGGATTCACATATCTCCGACCGCAGACTGCGGGGTATCACGAGTAACCACTGCCGGCCGTCGGCGTCGTAATTGCGTCGGTGTAGGAGGCCGTCACGAATGGCGAAATGGCGAGCTTGACGACGCAATGCACGCGTGGATGGCGTTGCGGATGGATCAGAGAGCATGTCGATGAGCGGACCGATCCAATTATCCTTTCGCTGTTCGGTAGCGATGATGTCAATATCAATGGCAGGAACAGCAGCCGAGGATACTGAGCAGAGCACATCACCTTCAGGCAGAGGGGAGCGCGAGAGGGCGTCGGCGTCAGCATGCTGGCGTCCGTTGCGGTACAGCACGCGGATATCGCAGTCTTGTAAGCGAAGAGCCCAACGGGCGAGACGGCCTGAGGGATCCTTCAATGATGAAAGCCAGCATAGTGCATGATGGTCGGTGACGACATCGAATGGGCGACCATACAATATATATATATATATATATATATATATATATATATATATATATATATATATATATATATATATATATATATATATATATATAGGCAGCGTCCTTGGGCCCTTACTATATTTAATCTACATTAATGACTTACCCTCCGAGATTACTTCTTGCATGCGTCTATTTGCCGATGATTGTATAATATACCGTTCTATAAACTCCAGTAATGACCACTTAGCCATTCAAGGAGATCTCAACCATATTTGTAACTGGTGCGACAAGTGGCTTATGAAACTGAACTTCACAAAATGCGAGGTAATGTCTTTCACCCGTAAACACGTAAACTCTGAATTCTCCTATTACTTGAACAATACCATGCTTTCCCACACTTCTTCCTACAAATACCTAGGTGTTCTCACAGAGAATCTTTCATGGGCCTCACATATCGAGTCTACCTGTGCCAAAGCATCACGTTCACTGGGCTACCTACGCCGCAACTTGAGAAATTCCCCTACTAATATTCGAAAACTAGCCTTTCTTACCTTTATTCTGCCAATATTAGAATTCGCCTCAGCAATTTGGTCTCCTAATCAAAACTACTTTTTTATTATGGTAGAAAGGATTCAAAATAGAGGTGCCCGCTTCATATCACGAAACTACGACATCACGTCAAACATAACGCAAATTAAATCAGACCTTCAGCTGCCGTCATTGGATAGCCGTCGCAATATTGCTCTTCTCTGTCTGTTCCAGAAATATATTACTTCTAATAAACGAACGCGGCTTCAGCTTCAAACACCTCACTCTTTTTCACGCAGATTGCATAATCAGTTCAGCTTCATGCGCATATACGGGTCAACTAATGCATTCAATTCATCACCACTGTCTCGGGCCGTTCGTCTTTGGAATGACCTCCCTGATTGCATAGCCTCCATATCTTATCCCGATACATTTCGCCGTCAGCTACTCACTCTGTTCACCATGTGACCCTGTTTTTGTATTCTGAGTGCATTGAGTAACGGTGATTTATATTCCCCTTGTCTTTTATTTTAAAATGTATCCCTCTGTCGTATTGTTCATATCAACAAGTGCTGTATTCCCTCAAATTTACCTCGCCCTGTATAGCCTAAAATGTTATCTCATTTATATATATATATATATATATATATATATATATATATATATATATATATATATAATATATATATGTGACGTATGAACCGATGGTTGGTAGAGGTAGATGAGGAAGAAGTGCAGAATAGAATAAACATGGGGTATGCGCCAGGCCACGTCGCCCATTCATCATAGCGTCACACAAGTCGACAGGATGAAGACCTGGCCACCACTCATCAACCTCACATCATTCACGAAGCCACCTGCAGTACACCTCAACTGAATATCGACCACAGAAGAGGTGATCTCAGGCGCATTCAGTTACCGGCACCATGACAGAACCATCGACTGAGCTCGACATCCCAAGTACACCGGATCAGCGGACGACGGACCCGTACAGGACTGGTTCAACCTATTCGAGGTCCACGCCGCCGCTGCATCCTGGTCGGAACAGGAGATGGTCACCAACTTTACCGACTACGTCACTGGTGAGGCTTTTAAATTTTACCTCACCCACATATTCGACAACGACGAATCATGGCAAAAAATCAAAGAAGAAATGATCATTCGATTTAAAGATTACGATGAGGATTCACTTACAACCCGTGATCTGAAGGCAATCGATCTCAGTTGTCATAACCACGTCGTAAGATTCCGCAACATCAGCAGTGCCATCAAGAACTCAAAGAACTCCGGAAACTACGGCAGTTACATCAAGCATAACGACGAGCTAAAATGAGATCACAAGCAGATCTGTGGCTTAAGGATGGTCGTCAGAAACGACACCAACTAAAGGAAAGACCAAGTCAACATTTGAGCCATATTCGTAGAAGGAAACGTCAAAGAAGTCTTCTGTACGAGATATCAAGGCTTCGTGTACTCTCCTACCGATGGAGATACCACCACAGAAAACCACGAAAGAGACTGAACGTTACCATTTGCAAATTGCAGGTACATAGACATCGTATCATCAACTTCGGATCTCGTGAACGCAATCCTGAAGCAATGCTTCTGTCTCAGCCACGACAAAGAATACAGCACCCGCGGCAGAAAACTCGGCGCCTACGACGTCCGACCTTCAAATTCTACAAGGACGTCCAGCATCGTTGGTTCTTCGCAGCTGCTGAAGCCATGTCATGGTCAGTGCAGTTGTGCAGGACGCGGTTATCATCTCCAGAACGCCACAGTCAGCCTCGACCACCAGAACTCCTGCGTAAACCGGACTGCTGCACTATCTCCTGAAGTCTTTGAAAACAGTCAGCCTCGACCACCAGAACTCCTGCGTAAACCGGACTGCTGCACTATCTCCTGAAGTCTTTGAAAGTTTACGGAACTCCCCTGAAGCATAGAACCAATTGTGACTTTTGACATTCGTGACTTTTCAACCTCTCCTTGTTTAATTTTTCTTGTTCATAATTCATGCCTTCTTTCGGGGGAGGGGGAATCGTGTGACGTATGAACCGATGGTTGGTAGAGGTAGATGAGGAAGAAGTGCAGAATAGAATAAACATGGGGTATGCGCCAGGCCACGTCGCCCATTCATCATAGCGTCATATATATATATATATATATATATATATATATATATATATATATATATATATATATATATATATATATATATATATATATATATATATATATATATATATATATATATATTCGTAGTTCTTGCACTGATCCTGCCTGTAAACTATTCGTTACCTGTCTGTACCATTCCGATTCCTCCCCCCCTTACCCAATGCCCTGTTCTGGGGCATGTAAGGTTTTTTTTAATAAAGAATAAAGAATATATATATATATAATCCAGTAGATCCTCCGTGAGCGGTCACAACGTGGTTTATTTCGACGTTTCGGCCTAGAGTCTGGCCTTCATCAGGCCATCCTGATGAAGGCCAGACTCTAGGCCGAAACATCGAAATAAACCACGTTGTGACCGCTCACGGAGGATCTACTGGACTATATGCAACGCTACGGCCACTCAACCACCATGCCTGCCTATATATATATATATATATATATATATATATATATATATATATATATATATATATATATATATATATATATATATATATTATATATATATATATAACGAGAGAGAGACAAACGTTTACGACGTTACAATTACCTCAGAAAAAATCCGCATGCTTATCATTGCGCTACATTCTCTAAGTGTGTTTCTATGTAACGATACTCTAAATTTTGCAACAAATATAATGTAGTTATGTACATACTGTGGGCTTTCTTGAACTTCGAGTCTCGGCTGGTGTTGCAGTCGACGTAGGTAGCAGTGGCGACGGCGATTAATAGAACGCATAGAAACGCCCTGCAAGACAAAACATCTAGATCATCATAAAGTACCCTCAGAAGAGAATGTTTCCGTGCCAAATGGGATTATTACAACAAAAGAAACGAAATTTATAATGCTCGTATAACGACGAACTTGAAGCAAAGTGACGAAATGAATCAAAATTAAGCATGCTCTTCTCAATTGGAATGAGGCAGGATACGTGAAACATTGCGGTCGCGGAGTGCGCCAGTGACATCTGCGATACTAAAGTGTGTTTGAATACCTTGATGTGAAACACGTTATTTCTTAATACACACAAGTCGGCGTTTGATACCTGTTCCTATTGCAGTATGAAAACAGACGGTATGCACTCTGACCGCCATGGTGGACGGTGGATCAGCGATTACGCTATAGTGCTGCTTATCCGAAGGTCGCAGGTTCGATGCCCGCCGCAGTGGTTGCAATTCAATAGGGCTGTATGCTAGAGGCCTGTTTACTGTGTGATGTATACGTGCATTAAAAGACACCGAATGGTTGAAATCCCTGAAGCCATCCGCTTCGGCACCTCTTAAAATCATGCTGTAATTTTCGGACGCGAAATTCCACATTACATTATTACGGTAGGCGCATTGTTTCGTGAATGTTTCCTTAATGTATCGTCATTCGGTTCTCCTGCCATCCAACGCGCGGCTTTTGTGGTGTTGTGACTGCACTTCATCTTGTGTGGGTTGCGCACAGGTATTTCTCAAAAAGGCTTCGTAGATTCGCACAGTCATTGTATCATCCAATTGTTCTACAATTCAACAGAATGTTCCAGTAGCATCACTAGAAAGCAAAAGTCGCTAAAATACAACGCGTAACCGGAAATAATTTAGAGCCTGTACACATTTTTTGTCTCACACACCACACAAATACTGCGTAGTCTATGCAATCAATAAATAAGTAAACAAATAAATAAGTATCAAGTCATGGGCATCACGCCACATGGCCTGGTCTTTTTATTCCTGAAGCGCCGCAATTTTAGGGAGGGCACGTCTGCTTTATCTTTTGTCAAAAATAAACGCCAATAAGGACACTTGCAGGGTATACTTTAAAATTTTCACTTGTGAATTGCGCCACTCTTCTTGTGAGACCATGGCAACCATAGTGCCTCATACTGTGATCACCAACCACCAGGCAACCACCTGTCTCATACGGGCCCTTTTGTAAGGTCATCCACTCGAAAACCGTTACAACACTACGACACGGCAGTTTCGAACGGGCATCAAGTGCTTCTGGCGTTTCTCACCAAAATATCACTGAACTGCGATTTTTTATTTTCGCATTCATGTCGACGAAAGCTAAATAAAGTAAATTCACTTCAAATCGCAAATAAATCTGTTCGTTTTATTCAAACATGTCGATAACTTGCTTGATCGTAGTTCCGATTACACATTTTGTTTGAGTTGTCGTGAAGCGAAACAATGGAAAATAAGACACGGCCGGATGGCGTGATGAATATGAGCGCACTGTGTTTTGGTCGAAAGTGTATACACGTGGCACACTTAAAAGGGCAGAACATTCAACTTTATCATTCACAACGCTCCCATATGGTACTTTTGAAACATACTAGTCAAAATGTTTTGTCCCAAAACGAGAACGAGCACACCGTGAAAGAGAGGGCACGCTCGCACATACTCTTAAAAAAAAGGCTGTAGTACCTATTAAGTTCGGTTTACTAACTGCTTGTCACTTATGTTACTAACCGGTTAGTATGTGAGGTTAGTAACGGGGAGGTTAGTAACCGTTACTACCTCCACCATTACTAACCCAGTTTGTAATGGTTACTAGCGTACGTAGTAACAGCTGCTTACAAAAATTATACTAGGCGCGATCATTTTGTCTTACGAATCGCCCGTTTTATAACAGTCCTATTCACGAGCATCAACATGTCAATATACCACTGAGTAATTACGCACGTAATGCAATGAAGGAGAACAGCACACATACGCAAGTACATGCGAGAAGTGTAGTTCCTAAGGGGTTCCAGGAGTGTTTATAGCCTTAACTTTGGGGAACGCAGCTGGTGCAGGTGGGCGCCTGTGCTGTAGGATGTACCATTTAAGCGCCTTTACTTGTGGAACATACAGTTTTTTTTTTTTTAGCTGAGTGAGGTAACGTGCCATATTTTGGGCGTGTTGGTAAACGGAACTTGACATGTTGAGCGCTAAGAGACAGGGACATTAGAGAGAGGACAACACAATGCGTAATGTAGGACTTTTAATCAAGCGTAACGGGAAAAACAATTAGTTGTGTATATTTCGCATATAATACCGCCTCAGCACGGCATAATATTGAAGGCATAAGATTGGGTAGTAAGCTTGCATGTATTGCGTCAATGAACTTGAATTCATCCCCGTGATTAGGTGGGTGTGTTTATAAAAAGTGGATAACGATTTAGTGTACTAAGTTAAATACTATGGGAGAGCATAAATGCCATCCATGTTGTTAAAAATACATGTCGCAAGAAGCTACCTCTAAAGTTGATTGACATTGTTAACAAGTTCATTAAATACATGCATCACGAAAAGTTACTAACAGTGCGCAAAACGTAGTAACCGTCGCAACCTTGGCATTTGCTAACGTGGGTAGTAAAAGGTTAGTAATGGCTTAAGAAGGTTAGTAACAGCCGCTGTTACTAACATTTAGCTCGTGGTTACTAGCTTTTTACTAACTTACTTTTAAGAGTACAATTTTCGATTGCGTCGCTCATTGACCGTCGCAGTTATGATACAGCTGTGGGGTGCTCCGTTTACAAGTTGACTGTTGACTCGATGGCCTTCGGAAATCCCGTATAACAGCTGATTCTTGAACACTGAGTCAATAGAGTATTGGTTGGAAGGCCTTGCAAATACCCGTGCGTGATAGGTGTCCACAGAGTGTTTTTCATCACTGTGTGAATCATTTATCGTCGCTGTTTTTGCTTTCGTAAACAAGCTTAGATGACAGTGGGGTGGTGGCGTTGCAGCAGGTGGAATCAGGCATGCATGCTTGGCCGTACTTTCACGGAAGCCTATCATGCGTTGATGACAGGATTGTGCCAACAGGTTTCAAAAAGCCCGGGGTCCCAGTACCTGACCTCTCTAATCCTGGCCGTCCAGAGAGCCCGCGTGATGGTGGTCAGGCTTTAGCTTGCCGTCCCCGAGTGATTCTAACCAGGTGACGTCGAGTTAACTTGCGTGTATTGGGGACTAAATAAAGTTGTTTCACCTAATTTCTCACTCGCGTGAACGCGAACAAGATCCTGCATTTTGATCCTGCCATGCGCCCTCCGGCTATAACGGTGTATTCAAACGTCTGATACCGAAGACCATATTTTTGCAGGCTCCATGCTATCGCTTTTCATTCCTTCCCTAAGTGAAGGCATAGCCCAATGAAACATTTGATGTCGCCGTTATCACCGGAGAGAGCATATAGAAACGCAACGCGTGCCTCCCGTTCGAAGCCGTGGTGCATGCACAGTCATTTCTAATGTGGTCCAACAGCGTTCCGTCTTCATAGACATGCCCCGTCATCACCGACGTTCGATGTGGGGTATTGACTTCATACGCAGGTACTACGGGCATCGCAATTCAAACCAGACAGCGTGATTCAAAAAGCGTGGTAACGTGATTCGGTATGCGTGGCGTCTATATTCCGTAGCACATTTCGAGGAAAGCTCAAAGTGCATCCATTGCTCATTTTATTTCCACAGTGATATATATGAACAGCCGCTGTTTGTTATGGCTGGATCCAGCATAAGGAAGAGGTGAGGGGCTGTGAAGTTAAAGGCACAGTAGGGCTTACATGTCTGCTCAACCGTAGCATAAATTTTTCAGGAACAGCATCACTTATAGCACAGTTCAACACAACGAAGCAAACAGCGTCATAGCGCACGCTAAGGGCATTCTTCTATACAACTGGTATCACACCTCTGTGAATATATTTACACAGCTTAGAAAAACCCCGACTTGAATTTTCGGTGGTATGGCAGAATTCTCATAAGCACAGAGAAGTTGTTTATAGTTACAATACACTTATACATGCGCAATGGCAATGACAATAATATTTTTACTATAGCTGAATATTGATAAATTTAGCAGCTTTCTGTGATCACCAAATAAGGGATAATAGCTATCTTCATATAAGAACTCTAGAAATGATAAGTAAAGCTACTCACACAATTCCTATTTCGCATTGACTCCATGAATGCGGTTTTCCTGTGACGCAGTTGGACACTTTGATGCGCACAAAAGGAGGCGTCACTGTGAGGTCAAGAAAGAATGAAACGCGGCAAAGCTTCCAATCACGGTGAAATTTCTTAGAAATCAAACTATATTTTTTTCTTTTTTTTTCAGGCATGTATATATATATACTACCTAGAACAACACGTATACGCTCACTACTGAAAGAGATGGTTTCTAAGAGTTTAAGAGCCACACGAGTTGTTAGAAGTTACATCATCTGTTTACCGTGGCATTGATCTAACGCTGCCACCAAATGTAATGTGCAACCCCCTACCCGACAGAGCTGGGTGGCTGCCCTCGGTTACACTCTAAAAAAATATCGAGTAAAAAGGGTGTCTTTTTATCCCACAACAATAATTGTCATCAGGCTTGCGTGCACTTCCTTTCTTGAAAACTCGGCGCTGGCCCCTTTCCTATCGAGAATGCAATGTAACCCTGATAATGGGCATGTCGATCGTGACCGGAATGTACCGGGCACGGGGCGATAGCGCAAGGATGGAACGCAATATAGATGACGATTATTGTTGTGGGGCAAAAAGACACCCTTTTCACTCGCTCTTTTTTTAGAGTGTACTTGGCCTTGGAGGGTCCAAGAGCCCCCGTGACCAGGGCGCGTGCCCCCGCGGAAGCCACTTGGGTCCTCGACTCCAGGAACTCCTCCTAGAGTTTGTACAGAGTCGGCGCTTAAAGGAGCACTGCCATCAAATTTACTCGTGTCAAGATTTTTGCGACAACGAATACCTATAGGCCCCATAGCAGCGATTGGCGACATAAAATGCAACTGAGGTATGAATAACTATCACATTTACTTATTTATGTCACTGGTATCTAGCACGATTTAAAACGCCTGGCAATCCCTCCATTTTTAGCGCTGGGAGCACTACCAGTGGCGCTAGCTCGTGGTCACCTCCAGATCGCGCCACCGCAGACCATTTCTCCACTGAAAAGAGTGACGTCAGGCTCGGCTGTTCTGCCAACATTTCGTCTGTTAAATGGACACATTCTGTGATGCTTTGTCACCTGCATTGCCGTCAGCGCCGTAGAAATTGTCGACTCGGGTTGAATACGATAGTCTGGAGCTTGCAATCCACGCGATTAACGACGTCATGAATTATTTTTGCTTCGATCAACCCTATATACAAGACAGCGATTCCAAAATAAACGCCGTTCCAAGCAGCACTGAGGAGCTTCCCGAGGATGCATGCTTCAGCCTTGTTCACTCGCGTGTCTCAATTAGCTATATTGGTGTGCTTTGGCATGCACAGAATTCAGGTTTACCCAAAGGGGTCAATGTAAGATCGCTATCGGGAATGAGCATCAGCGGAGAAATAAAAAACGTTCTCTGCTTCCCTGTTTGTTTGTTTTTTGCGCCTCCAAATGGTCCTACCTATCCAGCCTCTTGTGGTACGCAGGTCGCGTGATGAAATCCCTGCTGCGGCGGCTGCATTTACGATGGAGGCGGAAATGCTATAGGACTGTGTGCTCAGATTTCGGTGCACGTTAAAGAACCCTAGGTGGTGAAAATTTCCGAAGCCTTCCACTACGGTGTCTATGACAATCATATAGTGGTTTTGGGACGTTAAACCCCGCATATCAAATCAAATCTGCCTCTCGTGGCTGCGGCGGCTGTAATCCAGTTTTGCGCGAACGCAAAGAAGCGTACAGATAAACTAAAATTCAACGATACCTGCGTGTTACTTGTTAGCGATGATATCTGTCTACACGCGGTTCCAATTCGCTAGCTTGTGGTCGTGTGGGCGTGAAAAATATACGTGATATGAGAGGACAACCTTATTGCGCTTTTTTCGCGTTCCGAACGAGACGACTGCAACTCACTTGCAACTCGCAACGGTTCCCCGACATGCTGACCGACAAGCATCACGTTGCAAGCTCTTTTATTTCATTGTTATTTCAAAGGTACTTTGCATCTTGGTAATTTCACGAAATCATTCAAAGCGGTGCGACGAAGATCAGACGCGACGAGCGAGTGCGTTCCCAGGTTTCGGTGTCAGTTGGCGCCACGAAAACTCGGATCGTAGACGTCATCGCTACTTGCGCATCGTCAATCAGAATGGTATGCGTGGAATGTATCTACCAAACACGTAGCACTAGTGTTGCAGGGCACTTCATTTTCAATAAACTCCCTCACGCTGTTTGCCGTCAAAATAAAATACCTTCCACGCAACGGATTCGATTCAAATTTGGTTAACGCGACCTGCACACACTCATCAATCACGGGGAGTGACCATCTCAATTTTGAAATTTGATGACAGTGCACCTTTAAGGTCGCCCTACCTTTTACTTGTAGATAGTTTTATTAAATGTTTTAACCACCTCCGCCACCACAGGAGCAACTCAGGCGAACTCAATTCAACCCAACACTGCATTCGCCGTTCTCTTTTTCTGGTCTTTCCTTCACGCGCCTGTCACTCCGTCCGCTTGATCCACTACAATACAAAACATTTCTATGCTTGTTTCCTTGTTACGAGTGAATCGCCATATAAAGAGCCGCTGAACAAACAAGCGATATCTCATTTATCAGTATACTAGCATTCTGCATATCCCCAACACCGCAATACCCCACTACCCGTGAATGTGTCCTCGACAGGCTAAAACCCACGTCAAAATGTAGTGGTAACAAGGCCCTCATCCAGTAGCAGCTCGATTCACATGGCGTATAGGTTTTTTTTTTGTGCGTTCTGAAATCTACATAGTCCATCACTAAAAAGAAATTCGCAATGCGTTCTGCATATGTGGTTTACATTGCGACTGGCAAGACGCCTTCTTAAGTGAATGTGCAGAAAGTACGAGAGAAAAAACTTTGTAATCTCTGACGGATGTCACTCCGACTTTCAGGAACTATGATTCAGCCTTGGCGTGTTGAATTGAGGCGTCATCCGAAAATCAATTTGACCTTACGATTGAAACACTAACAAGGAAATAGTTCTCAAAGAATAATTTACTAGTTTAATCTGACTCCGTGCTTCGCCTTTGTGTCCCTTAGTTACATACGTATAACAGGGTTTTTACAGCATGCAGCAAGACCCCGATTCGCAAAAGAGACTACGCTACCCAGTCTTAAGCAGCAGCCACGCTCATTTGCATAGTCTAAAAACAAGAGCTAACCAACCGTCAGTAATGAGCAACACTATCCTTGTGTGTAGCTCATAACTATCACTGCTTTGAACAACGACGCACATCGTGGCCTTGGTGTAAAGGAAAACGTGTCTCCAGACGTATGAAGACTAATTGATATGTGGAGTTTAACGTCCCAAAACTGGTATGAAGACTGCGACGTTGCAGACGTATGCCGCGGTGTCATCATAAACGCTGCCGTTTTCTTGCTCACATGCTCTCTGGGCTCTTATCAATCCTTATTTTGACGTTTTTAGCCTAAGCGAGTACGTATGGCTACTCGGCCTGCAGTAACGTCTCTATACGTCTGTCGAATAGCAGCAGATTTGGCCTCGCAGAACTAAATTAATTTTTTATCCTTTTCATGATTTCAGCTTGACATTTATGACCCTGTGGTCAATAGAGAGACCATGTAAAAAGGTCCACTGTTTAACGCGTCATGAGAATGTAAAGCACGTACCCATTATTATCTCTGGCAAGCGTCCAACCTCCCGCATATGCTGCAGTAGACTTGTGGCCGGCGTTGCCACTACCACTCTTTCTGCATACCCATTTCGTGCATTGGCGCTACTCGAGAAAGCTTGTGTAGCTCGAAAACAAAGAAAGATGGTCACACTTCGCAATGTGTTATTCCCCAGCGAACCGCGCCATACGTCTGCTCCCTCCCTTTCTCTCCCCGCTCTTGGCGAAGTTCACATGTTCAGGTGAGCAGGCAACAGAATAACGGTATTTTCCGCGTGCACTGGCCAAGGCTTTAGTAGCAGTTCAAGCAGTATTCACGGACTCTCGATAGGTGCTATAAAATTTCTCCGCAACTTGAGGCTAATCGCTAAGCACGCACCTGAACCCAAAATCGTCTGCATGTCTTCTCGGTTGCAGTCGTTTAAAAAACAAATTGCTAGGCGACCAACAGCAATCTTCTTGGTCGAAAGATATTCCTTAAAGTACTTTAGCTGCAAAACAAAAGGCAAAAATTATTGCGTGCAAGGTGTAATACATCTAAAGCACAAAGGTGAACGCTGAAATTATTTTATAAAATATTGCGTAATCATACACTGTGTGTCTCTTCTGACAGCCACTGCTACTGCAAAGACATCCACAGCACAACACTATATTATACCATGATGACTAAACTACCGAAATTGGTAGTGTTATTTCGAGAAGCTATAGCCTAGACGTTGTGGTTTGATGGACTTTGCTCGATGAAGTAGCAAAATACTTCAGCTGACTGCCATAGTTTCATCCCTTACTGTACGTATTAGGTCCTCTTGAAGTCAGATGCATCGCTTCTCAGGGTGTTTCTGCCATAGCGTTTTGCGAGCGTTCGCTCGCAAAACATTCACATGAACACAGTATATGTTCCATTGTCTCGTCCCTATCTCACGACTCACATCTCGAGCTATCCGCCATTCCTGTGCGAAAGAGGTACGCATTCGCCTACATAAATTGTACCCATCGAGATAGCTTCAAGTTCCATCGGTCCTCTCCCGCCGAGATACAACTTTACTGTGCCGCCTGTGGTTAGGTGTAGCTTTCACGAAGGCATACTCTTTTCGCATATAAAGGGCGGATAGCTTCAGATGTTAGTCGTGCGATAGTGACGAGACAATAGAACATCTACTGTGTTCATGAGAAGGTATTGCAAGCGAACGACGTGCTACGCGAAACGTTACAAAAACTAGATAATATACCTTTTGCCGAAGAGAAGATCCTCGGTTCACGGTTTACGGCTCTACGCGAAGCGGGTACTGCTGGGTTTTCTAAAGTAGACCGGATTAAGTGGCCGCTTATAATCGTGCAATTGGCAGGGTCACAAGTACCCACATGGGGCCCGTCACCTGTCCTCGCTTTTTTTTCTTTTAATCCCCTTACCCCTTCTCCCAACGCAGGGTGGCAAACCGGACATGCGTCTTGTTGAACTTCCTGCCTTTTCTTTCTGCCCTTCCTCCTCCTCCTCCTCTGCCATAACTACTTGATGACTCTTATCTTCTCTCTCTTGTTAATTTCACGATAGTATTTTTAAAAAGGTGTCCAGTTGCATGGGAAGAATGTGGACGGACCAGAAAGCAGCGTGGCTGACGAACATGGCCCTTCGAACTTTGGTAGATAATAACTCGTAAGAACACTAGCAAAATGTTTTCGTTATATATTTAGGGCAAACTGCACAAATTTTCTATTGCAGAGGTCGCACTCAGTGCGCGGGAAAGTTAGAAAATTTGGTGTCATTCACTGACAGCTTTTTTGTATAGCTGGAAAGTGGTCTACTCCGAGCGTAACGTCACGTAGTGTAACATCCCCGGAGGGACTCTCCTAGAGCCCCCTGGAGTCTTACCCTTGGGTGAATGACTGCCGATAATGGCTCTATCATTTCCTGGATGGCAGTCGCGTTGTTGACGTATACCAGCATGTTGCAATACTGGCCTTCCGAAAGCACATTCCCAAAGCCGTCACGTACTACGGTGCCGATGCATTCGTCAAACGCCCCCATATCCACGTGGGCGCCTTCAAGTAGTCCAGTGGGGTACTTGCCAGACGCATCGAACACTGTGCACGAAACACATGCGAAGACATTGAGGACACAGAGGAGTTAGAGAGGTTACTTCATAACGCTTGCTGGGAAGAGGTAAAAACAGGGGCTTTGATTGGTCTCACTACCACAACTACAAAAAGTCCACAGATACAGTGAGTCTGATACCGAAGACTTGTGTTTCTGTGGTCAGCCCTTACGAAAGCAGTGTCTAGCTATCTAACAGGTTATAAGTGGACGCAGCTATAGGATGACAATAGAGAGCAAGTAACTCTCATTACAAAACAAAATGAGTCAGGTTACGGGTTTGAAAACTGTATTATGACATTACATAGATCAGAGACTGCCATTTGGTTTGATTCAAGAGCCACGTGCAAGTGGCACATGGCTCTTCAGATAGAATTCAACAGCTGTTTTCACGTGTTTGACCACTATAATTTGTCATATCAACAGGTATGCCATGGATAACTAGTTAGGCACCAGGTATCATCACGTGTGTGTTCTTAACACCAAGATTTTCACGAGAGTGTCGCGATAAAATGCAGTAAAAATAGCTGAGACATGGTCCACTTCACTACGTCTACTGTAGGGCAAATGTCTCTCCCATGTTTTACCAATCAACCCTGCCCAGCGCTTTCTGCTGCCACGTTCGATCAGCAAACTTCGCAATCTCATTTGCTCACCTAACTTTCTCCCTAGCCCTCGCACATTGTTCTTCTCTTTGAAACCAGATATTCACCCTTAATTATCCACGTTATCTTGCCTACGCACCATGTGCCCCGTCAATATTCATTTCTTTTTTATTTCAACTATGCTGTCATTAACACTTTTTTGTACTCTGACCCACACTGCTTCATTCCTGTCTGTTAAGATTACACTTATCAATTTCCTGTACATTTTTGGTTGCGTCGTCCTCAATTTATGATGAAGCCTCTTCATAAGCTTCCAGGTTCTTATTCCGTAAGTGCCGGTAAATGCAGCTGTTATATACCTTTCTCTTGAAGAATAGAGGTAAACTATTATTCATAGTTTAAGAATGCTTGCCTAATGTCCCCCACTTCGTCCTTATTCTTCCAGTTCATCTACGTATTGCGCATCGGTGTTCTTTCCAGAGACTATTAGTATTTTCCTTTCCACGAATTCCAATATAGCTAGTAAACTTATGCCTAAGAGGCAGTGAACTAGGCAGGACATTTTAGGAAAAGATGAATAGGCTTATAATAGACGTACTTTCGTTCATCGTGAGTTCACTGATACATTCGATTAGTATTTTTAGTCTGGTGAGAAAAGAGGAAAATTTATAGTAATTTGCTGCTCTTAGCGGACGTAATGCCGTCAACTGAGTCAACTTGCTGTGACGGCAACATAGTATAGATTATGCAGTTCCAGTAAAGCTTCAAGACACTTTTTGTAACGTATGAACAGCATCAACGCACCTGGTTGTTGATTGTCGTTGGCCTGCAATATACGGCAAAGGAGCGGGCGCACGTCAGCCCAAGTGCGTACATGTTCAGCACGTACTACGTTCTACCTAAATTTTGGGGCACAGGGAATTTCCCATCTAGCGCTCATTAAGTGTGGCCAGTGCGGGAAATAACGGAGACCACATCCTCGTGCTTACTAGCACAACGTTATAGGCGCACAGTCACAAGAGTGGGCTTTCTTCACGGGAAACAAAGCCTTTTGAACAGACCATACGAGCCGCACCAAGGCTATACTGCTGGCATGTGACCACAACAAAGATGTACTCACATCTGAACACCCATGGTTCCAGGTTCTGAAACCCGCGTACGGCCCGAAGTAGGCCCGCCATGCACTCCGGTCGCACGTCGGCTTGCAGCAACTTTCTCCTTAGAGACACTGGTATACTCGAAAGCACCTTGGGCAATAATTCCCGCAGCAAGTTCGCATAATCGGTCCCGCCATGATCATGCGGAGAAGTGGAAGACGCCTTCATTGGCATCGTTGTCTCCCACATGTCGACGTTTGATGAACTCGCCGTTCCGTTCCATGCCGGCGAAGCCTGCGACGCTAACAGGAACAACAGCGCGAGCATCAGATCTTCGAACGACAGCTGGCCGAACCGTCTGGCGGACAAACGTGTTGGTGACATCGGCCAGAATTCGGATGCCATAAACGTGCGGTATAGAAAGTGATCCTCGCTGTACGCTACAACTAGTTTCCTCTCGGTTTCTAGTCAGTGCTTTTTGAGGATAAGGCAGGTTTTCTTTCTTCCATAATGAAGCCGGGTGACAAAACTAATACCAGTGCCTTCTTTGTTTTTGTTTTTCTTTGGATTTTTCGCTCAATGTTTTGAAGCTGTGTGACGTCTCTAAACCAGCGTAGCCTCACGTGTGTGCACAGCAAGGAAAGTCGCCGATCAGTTTTTTTTTTTCTCGTGTAAGCAAATGGCCTTAGAAGAGAAGAGTGTAAGGCGATGCACGAGTGAGTCAACACATTCATAGAATGGAGCATTCACTGTGATTTTCTGCTGCAGCCGACGTAATTCTTTCGGCGTCTACGTTTCAGGAATTCGTAATGAGCACTGCAACTTACCTCTGCGGTTAACTGCTTGTCCAACAGCAGCGAACATGAAAACAAAACATATCGCGAATTAAATAACACACCCCCGGTTCTATAGCCGCACGTTCGGCAGCTAAGATCTCGATGTTTTCTACCCACTCACTCGACTGAAGCGAAAAAAACCTGCGTCTCGCAAGAACGACCCTACCAGAGAAAGTGAAAACACAGGTTCAATAACACAAGCGCCAGGATGCTTATGAAGGTACCCATGCTTACGCATTGACCCCGGTATGTTTAGTAAGACGTTAGCATAAGCATTTGGTTTCTGTTTCATGAAGTCAACATGCATGGACTTTGTGGTTTTTTGTATTGGAAACGGGCAGATAATTTTGCATGATCCGTGATGCATTAGTCGATGATGACTCAAAGGCGGAATTCGTTTTTGTTTTTCTTCCCAGTCAATTGTATTAACCTTCCCCTGTCCCCGCTCCCCAACGAAACCTTTCTGCACCCGAAGTGGCTTAGCATAGCCTCCGTGACTCGAGACATTGGAAGCTTTCTGCTTCTAACTTGGCTTGACAATGCCTCCGAGATCGACGTAATTTTGACCAAACGGAAGCGTCACGTGGTGCCATCAACATCTGGTTCGGTTCACTTAGTGCCGACGCACTTCCACGTTGGATGAGGAGTCTTAGACCTTCGTCTTAATAGGGCCGTGCTGTAAAAAAACCTACGAAATAGTTTGACGTTTGGCTACTATGCAAGACTGGGCACATCATACATAATATTCATCATAGTATTGTAGCATTGATACCAGCGCTCCCGCTACACAATGTTCGAGTATTTGGGAATCCGTAAAGAGAATATTAAATCTCTGAGTCATGAATACGCCGAGTGCGTCTACGTTAGATGCGTAAAGGTGCTCATGTTTTGACATTAACCTCATTCCAAAAACATACGCGGTTATTGACCTACATATATAGCAGAGCCAAAGATAAGGCCATTTATTCTGTCATCTTCGGTGAACTAATGAAGCTCGCTCATTTTGTGTGGATGATATAGTATACAGGTATCCCTCCATCGGTACGTTGACAAAGAAATTGTTCTATAATAATTGTTCCGTAATCTTCTAGGTGGCCAGTGATGCCAGCCTATGACGACAATTTATCCCTAGATTGACCCTTGGCAATTGCTTAAAATATAAAAAAATCTCTAGATTACCTTTATAATGTCGTTATTGACCCTAAGTGGCTCTTAACCAAGTATTGAAATAGTGCGCCCTGTTACCGAGTTCATCTTAACTTGTTGAAATAAGAAGCACCATATTAAGCACCATTTGAGGTATTTTCTTTCTACATGTTCTGTGGAGTGGCACATAAAGTTCTTGCAGATGGCACCAGTAGCCATAGAGACAGATTTGCTGATTGAAGGCATAGATGTAATCCTACCAGTCAACTGCAATAGTGCATTTCTTCTACTTGCAGCTTGGGAGGTTGTGATCGATCTTTAAATTTCTACTTGAGAAATTACTGTCTCATTATTTTAGTAGATGTGCGTGGGTCAGTGACTGATAGCTATGCCTTTCCTCTGCACTTCAACTCAGCTGCCCGTACGCCACCGAAATTTTCGTCAGCTTATCACTCTCATGCAAAGGGCACGATGGAAAGACTGAGGACACCCGAACAGTCAGTCGTCTTGCCTCTGTTGATCACGCTGGTTTCGGTAATATTAAACCCGTAACACTTTACCTAATCTTCAGTTTTATTTTTGCTTTGCTCCCTACCTAAGCGTCCCTGTTGAGATGTTTACATCATTTATGAGGAGGCACGCAGTAAGCGGAAACTTGGCACGGGTTTATAAGCACTACAAGACAAAATTTATGAGAATTTCACAGAGCTAACACTCAATCAGGGTGCTTAAATATGCGCTTACTTGCCTCACCCTTGCGTGGACAGAGTTTAATTTTATCCAGTATTCAGCACATAATATCGGGTTACAGAATGGTTATCCCTTTCACGGGGCACAATAAAACACCGAGACTTTTAAACAGAAAAGACATTAAATAGAAGAAGTGATCATTTTTACGGTCTTTTTTAGTTTAAAGAGAGTGAATATTAAGTAGAGCCTTCGATCACGCCAAGTAATGTGACATTTCCAGCCTTATGAAAATTCCTAGGCTTAACAAAAAAGACGCCGAATCCTCAAAAAACACAGGAAATTCATAATTCTAGAGATATACTTCTAAAGTTGGCATCACTGCCGGCGGCGGGCGAGCACCGCGCGAACGCAAGTCACCGGAAGAGGATGCTCACGCGCAGCCAATCAAGATCGGCGGAGCACCATGACGCAAGCTAGCGTGACGTAAAGGGGAGGTGCGGTGTCCGGGCCTTTTAAGACATGTGTCTCCACACAGGACAACTGACGCATGGCTCGCCCCAGACCAAAGGGCCTGGTAGCGAAACCATGGTGGCCACGTTCCCGACACTCGATGCGCGCGCGTAAGCGCACGTGCAAGCTTGGGGAACAAGGCGCCAAAGGGGAAGGCACGCTCAATTCCCACAAAGTTCATTGCTGCTCCCTACGCAGGCGGCGCTGCCGCTGCTCGCTCCTAGTACGTAACGCTCGCAGTAGCGCCAGTGGTGCGCCTTGCAACATATTCGTATAAGCACAGGCGAAGATGACGCCCATCTAGATGTTTCTATCATGCAGTGACGACTCTTTCACTGCATATCGAGCACCAGCCAATACGTCAGTGTTTGCTTGATATTCGCGCTGCACTGCACATATTCTGCATCCATACAGGTGTTTGTAAGCTACATCAGCCAGCACATACGTTTAACCACTATCAAGTATGTTAGTGCTTGGGATGGAAGTATACCTCTTGTCTTCAACGCTGGTGCGTCCACGTCAAACGATGCCGCAGCTGCCAAACACCAGACGATATTGTGCACGGTTTATTTTCGTCTTAAACCAAGTTCCATGTAGGAGGGGACTGATGTGCATCATCTTGCCTTTCGCTCACCCCCCGTTCAGCATGCCAGCTAATCTCGACATCCCCACACCCATTTCATTCCTTATGCCTCAACCGCATCTGCGCACTTTTCTCTACAAAGGTGCGTAGTTATTACATTAAAGTCAGTAGTTACTGCGAAAAGCAGAACGTCTCTCATCTCTCGCTCGAAAACGAATGCGCAATGGTATTCACCATTTGGAGTACAGATATGCAAGTCGTATGCCAAAAGCAGATTCTCACGGCAACGATTATCTGTTTCTTCCTAAATGGCAAGCGCTCATTTCCAACGTTGACTTCGTAATAACGCAACAGCTCTTTCAGGGATGCTATCTCCGATCGATTTTATCGTTTCCTGGTGTTTCTTAGCGTGATGGATTTTTATGGACGCGCGTCGGCACAAATATTCTTTAGTTATTCACGCACTGGTGTATTGCGTAAACTGATGGCTCTAAGGGAGTTTCCATTTGATAGTTATTGCATTTATGCACTCAATTTAGGAAAAATAACACCGGCGTCAGCAAGCGCGTTAAGGAATGTTAATTATACACTCACGACTTGAGATTGCAAACCATTCTGGTATTCCTCTCAGCCCTATATATAACGAAACGACTTTTGTTCCAGTCTCACCGAGACCCCTTTTTCAAGAGGGTGCTATTGTAAGACAAGCAACTGCTGTCGCTGCGCAGTTGTTTGGTAACTTCTTTTATAATGATTTCCTCGTAGTCCGTAATGTAAAACTGAAGACTGAAGAGTAAAAAAAAACGAACACTCGGCAGATACAGCAGACCCTGGCATGGACATTTACTCCTTCACCTTGTCATTTCAAGGAAGACCCGCGTTTCATGTTCGGCCTTAGTAAAGTCACTGAGAAATTACTTCTTAAGCGTCTTCGCTAAAACTTCATAATATAACTGTCCATCAATAACCAATTTGGTTTACGCCCTGACAGTGCCAATATTTTTGTTGGGCTGTCTTTAACTGACTGTTTAAGGAATCAAATTGTTCCCTTCAGCTCGTTTAGTAGAATTTTTTTTACTTTATTAAAGCATTTCAAAGGATTACCCCCGAACATTGTTTAATAAACTTTAGTGTTTTGATGTAGCGGCTCCTGCTCTAACATAACTAAACACGGCTTAATTGAGCGAATATACACAGTGCATGTAGTAAGCATTCTCAGCAGCTAAGTGGGTTATCAAGGGTCAAGGATGTACCGCAAGGCTTAGTTATGTCGTTGGGTTTTTGTATTGTACATTAAAGATCTTCCTAATTTCCTCAACTCTTCCAGTAACGATGATTGCGTTTTATACGCAGGGGCCACTATGAAGTAGTCATCTTATAAGTGTATTACTGCCTTTACTTCAAGCCTAAATATTGCAACGTGTAACATTATAAATTGGTACATTAACTTAGTTCTTGATTCTCTCAAAACCTAATGTGCCTTGAGTAATGCTGCCAAAAAACCCAATAA